TGTTGTTGGTTGGTTATTTTCATAACTGCCTCCAAAGCCTCAGGATGGTCGGGGGTGGGTGCCTTGCGCTGAGGGTTGGCCACCCCTCCGCACACCTCTTGAAATGCTCCCATATGACCGGGCGTCTTACATAGTCTCTCCTGAGGAAGTCCTACTCACTGCCTTCACGTGGCGGAGGTGTTTCTCACCAAAGTGAGAGGGCGAAAGCGGATGCCCGGCGCTCTCCACCGGGTTGACTGTCCATTGGATGACAGTCTAGGGGAGATGGCTAAACCCTGATTCCAAACCTCCAACGACTGGCGTATGAAGCTCACTGGAGCTCACCGGCAGACGTATGGACAAAGGGCTTGTTGGATGTCCTGGATGTCTGGCCCCATTCAAAAAGGCGTATGAACCGAACTCCGGTCACCGGCTGCCAATGGTTAGTGGACCCCCTACTCCACTCCTACTGCCTTGTAGGTCACACTTGGTTGTGTAAAGGCTAGAGCTGCACTCTCAAACAAAAGGCCGAGTGATTCTGGGGACATCACTCGTACCAAATTCCCATGAAACTTCATGAACTCTCTTACAAATTGCCGCGCCTGGGCAGCGATGATTCGAGACGTTCATGAAGCCGGCTCATCCTCCCGTAGGAGATAGCCGAAGTAAAGTAAAGTAAGTAAAGTATTTTCATAACTTCCGTCTTGTCTATGTTTGCATGGAGTCCTGTCCCCGTCGACTGCTTTTTCGACCAGTTTATCGGTCCGTTTTCGTTGGTAAGTCTTCGATTGTGTGTGACATCAAACATAAATCATACACGCGTGAATTCAGGTCCTCTAGGTTCTTCGCGTCGGTCCAGGGTATTCCTGTCTTCTCGTTTCCCACTGTCTGACGCATAATCCAGTCAGTTCACCACAATTAGGAATATCATTGGTGATAATAGGCACCCTTGTCTGACTCCTGTTTTTACTCCAAACACCTCGCTGAGTTTTCCGTTGTGGATCACTTGACATGTTCCGTTGTCGTACAGCTGTTGAATAAGGTTGATGGATATTTGGGGTACGCCATAGTACTCGAGTAATTTCCAAATTACTTCGCGCTCAACGCTGTCTGTCGAAGGCCTTCTCAAAGTCTATAAAGTTGAGGTAGAGGTTTGATTGCTTTAATTCCATGCTTTGTTCTGTGATGATGATGCGTAGAGTTGCGAATTGGTCAGTACATGATTTGCCGATTTCCTGAATCCAGCTTGTTCTGATCGGAGTTCTGTCTCCAGTGCGTCCTTTATTCTCTCCAGGATGATGTGTCTCGGGATTTTACTTGGCGTCGACAGGAGCATGATTCCTCGCCAGTTCTTGCAGAGTGGGGCGTAAGTCGCCCTTCTTTGGTAGTTTCACGAGGTAACCTTTCCTCCAGTCAGTGGGCACCTTTCCCTCCTTCCAGATTATTCTTTAATAGCAGGTGTTTAATTTTATCTATATTGGTGTAACTGTTGGTAACTGATACGTCTGAGTACCAGGCTTCTGGGAATTTCCCTAGTATATCCACTGTTTGAAATTTTCACATTCTCGCAGTCAAACTTGTTTTCATATTTGTCTACATGCAGTGATATGAAAGAGTAATGCATATCGTGTCGAAGGGGCCACCACTCTCATTTTGAACAATATAATGGTTATCACACAGTTTGTGAAATTTATTGGTCTTCTCTCGTTGTTGGTTCTTGTAGTCTGCATATGATAAAATGAAAGGATTGTGTTCGTTTGTGCTCTATTTCTATATTCTAAATCCTTTTGGTATTCTGCCTGTTATTTCAGAAACAGTATAAATGGTAGGATGAATTTCCTTGTGGCCTGCGAGTTTGGTTTCTACTTGGTAGTTGGAAAAGATCTAGTTAGTGGTGGTCAAATAAAAACATCACTTCACTAGTCAAGGAAATCCATAACAGTGAGTTTAGGCCAGCTAACCAGCCACGTAGGAAGATGTAGACAACCTGACTGGCTGTTTGGGGTTCTCTGGATGATGAGAACCAATGACAGTTGTGGACAATTGATGATACGGTTCAAAATCATTCTCAACGGTTGGCGTAGATGCATTCACTCTGTGATTTTCAAGTATTGGTTTTTTTTTGATTGATCGGAGGATTTCATCATGAGCTGACATCAGTTAGAGAACTGTAGGAATTTTGTTTGATTGGTTGGAGGATTTCATTTGTTTGTGATGATATATTTGTGACATCCAATAGAAACTCTTTTGTTCCTCCATTGTTCTTTTTTTCCATTCTTTTTCCCTCACCCGCACTTCTGTTTATTATGTCTCTTTTAAATCCCTCTTTACTCTCTTTTACTGGTTTATGTGATGCATGGAGAGAGAGAGTGGCAACTCGATCCGCTACACTTCTGTGAACACCACCGTGAACAGTGGTGGGCGACAAAAGCCAAAGAGATGGAGAAAGCTTCGAGGATAGGCAACACCAGGCAACTCTTTGGACTCATCAGGGAAACGGATGGGAGAAGACAAATCATTAGTGAGACAATCTCGGAAAAAAATGGCACTATAATTAGCTCACAGGATAGACGACTGGATCGTTGGAAAGAGCATTATGAGGAGCAGTTTAATTTGCCCACAGCCACGCTCAACCTTCCGAGCATCCAACACCTCCCTGAATGGGATATAGATACAGGTCCTCCGTCACTAACTGAGGTTACTAAAGCTGTCACCAATCTGAAACTAGGCAAAGCAGCGGGACCTGATGGAATGACTCCAGAGGTATTTAGGTACGGTGGAGACAGCTTACTGTCCGGATTAACTGAGGTACTAGGCAACGTTTGGGAATCAGAAGAAGTCCCATCGGGTTGGTGTAAGTCACTGATTATCCCCATATACAAGAAGGGAGACAAGTCTTCCTGTGATAATCACAGAGGGATTAGCTTGACTAATATAGTATCTAAAGTCTTAGGCTCAATAATCATGCGTAGACTGAGTGGTGCTCGGGAAGCACAAACACGAGAGAGCCAGGCAGGCTTTAGACCAGGAAGAGGGTGTATTGATCATATCTTCACCCTCCGACAGATTCTAGAACATAGGCATTCCTACCGGCGTCCAACAGTCATTATATTTCTTGACCTAAAGGCAGCATTCGACTCTGTCGATCGGGAAGTTCTCTGGAGATGCTTGGCTGTCAAGGGAATTCCGAGAAAATATATTGCACTGATTAAGGCACTCTATTCGTACTCATACAGCCAGGTGAGGGCTTACGGCGAGCTGTCATCTGAACTGGTGACGACCAGTGGTGTCCGTCAAGGATGCCCATTATCTCCTTTTCTATTCAACTTCATCATAGATGTGTTAATGGACTTAACCCTAGGTGACTTCAGCGATTCAGGGATTGACTTGCTACCTGGGAATAATCTCGTTGACTTGGAATATGCAGACGATATAGTCCTTCTAGGCGAAGACGCTGACGAAATGCAGAGTCTTCTAAACACCTTGAACAGCAATCTACGAATGTTTGGCATGCGATTCGCTCCCGCCAAATGCAAGATGATGTTACAGGACTGGACTACACTGGCTCCTAGTTTAGAAATAGGAAGTGAAGTGGTAGAGCACGTTGACCGCTTCACTTATTTGGGAAGTACCATCAGCCCCAACGGGCTGATCTCTGACGAAATCTCAGCACGAATACAAGGGGCTCGTTTCGCATTTGTTAGTTTACGCCGACTCTGGCGTAGACGAGATGTTCGACTATCGACCAAAGGGCGGGTGTACTGCTCATCAGTCCGCTCCGTCCTCCTTTATGGTTGTGAGACCTGGCCACTCAGAGTGGAAGACATGAAAAGACTAGCTGTCTTTGATCATAGGTGCCTGCGTTCTATATCCCGTGTAAAGTGGCATAATAAGGTGAGCAACATGGAGGTTAGGCGTAGAGTCCTAGGTAAACAGGGGAAATCAATCGACGAAGTCGTGAAGCTACATCGACTGAGATGGTTAGGACATGTGTTACGTATGCCAAGCCATCGCCTCCCTCGACGAGCAATGTTAGCGGATATAGGGTCAGGCTGGAAAAAAGCTAGCGGCGGTCAAACAAAAACTTGGCATCAGTCAATGAAATCCACAACAGTTGGTCTTAGCCACGTAGGAAGGTGTAGACTTCCAGGCTGGGGTCCTCGGGACGGTAAAAATCTATGGTTGGAAACAATTGGTGACATGGCTCAAAATCGTTCTCAGTGGCGCAGATGCATCCACTCCCTGTGACTTATGATCTCCAATGAAACTGTTTTGTATTTCTTTATTACTCCTTTGTCTCACACCTCTGCTCACTGTTTCTATTTGCTTTTCTTGTACTTTCTTCTCTTGCTTCGCGTGCTACACGGAATGTGGCGACTTGAACTTCCGCACATTTGTGCAAAGTTCTATGTCGAAAACAGACAGACAGACAGACACTTCTGTACAGAGTTGTATGCTGGAATCACTCTGTCAGTTAGTTTGATTCATGTTCAGAGATTTTTTTGGTGAAATTGCTCTTTCACTGAAGATATTACCTAAGAGGACAATGGAAGCTACTTTGTCACTTCAAAACTACCCACCATAGCTACAAATCTTTTCTATTATTTCATTATTTAGTTGGAGGATTTCATCATGAGCTGACATCAGTTTGAGAACCACTAGAAAACCAGCAGAGAGTACTGGGCAACTGTTTCGTCCTAGTTTGGGGCTCTTCAGCGCCACGCACCCACCGGGATTCGAACCCAGGACCTTTTGGTTACAAGGCGAGCTCGTGGACCATTAAGCCACTGGAACCCGATCCAATGGCCAACCCTTGAATTCTAACTTCTGCCAATCCCTGTAGGCGCGTACTGATGAAGAGTCACAAACTAGGACGAAACAGCTGTCCAGTACTCCCTGGTAGGCTTTCCAATGGTTCTCTAACCAATGTCAGCTCATGATGAAATCCTGTAACCAATGAATAAAATCCCTACAAGTCAACCATTGAATATTTTATTATATGTTTGTTTCTTTGTTTACAGGTGATCCTGCTGTCCCAGGTATTAATTTCGGTAATAAGTCTCGGTGGCCTGGTCCAAATATGAATCGTCTACCTGTTGGTGGTAAACAGCAGCAACAACATCCACCCACTCATATCTTGCCTAACATGACTTCTACTGGCTTACGATGGCCTCCTCCTGGGGGAACAACTCCACAAATGCAAGGTGTATGGTCGTTAACAGATCAAAGACGTCCAGGTACAGTTCAAGGACCACAGTGGTCATCAGCTAATACCTCAGGAATGGATAATAATCCTTCTAGTGGATATTTCAATCAACCTAATCAAAGCCTACCACCTCGTATTTCTCAACAGATTAGTGCTCCAGAATTTCCTACATCATTGGCAGCAGCAGCAGCAGCTTCTAGTCGTGGTGTAAATCAAGCGTTTAGAACTCCACAGAGTGCCTTTTATCCAGCCATGACTCCCGGTTTTACTTCTTCCTCTTCTTCTTCAATGTCTCAACGTATGTTTATGAGTCCTCAACAACATTCACAACAATTACAACAGCAGAGTGTAATTCGTGCTCATGTAATGCGTCAATTGTTTAGTCTTGGTTTTTCAGAGGATGAAATTCAACCGATATTCGCTGATACCAGCACTAGTGTGGAAAGAGCTTTAAGTGAGTTAGTTGTCTATGTGTGTTATTTTTTAAATAATTCAACCGGTTATATGAATTTCAGTAAAGGTACATATCCCTTGATCATTGAAGCATCTTTCTTAGACACATGTATAAGAAATCTGCTACAGTCACTTTACAAAGATTATTTTTTGCCACCTCGAGAGCATTGGCTTGAAGTGCTATCTACAGTTAAGTGGAGTGGCGCCAGGCACTGTGTGTGTGTGTGTGTGTATTTCCATGGTTTTCGGTGACCGAAACTGATTCATACACCATCTGATCCGTTCGCATTCTGGAACACATGCACTTCATAGATTTCAAATCAAGGTTTTCCTATCAGAATAAAACTTGTGCACTGTGGTAGAGTGTAATTCCATTATGGGTAAATTTTGTTTTGATAAAGTCTCACAGTGTTATACAGTAATGTTTACTGTATAACACTGTGAGACTTTATCAAAACAAAATTTACCCATAATGGAAGGTTTTCCTACATGGACCAACATGTCCAACAGTCCAGTTGTAAGCGCCAGTGTTTCGTGTTCGCTGTTTCACTTTTGTAAGAAGGCAGATGTTATCAACATGTAGTCACATGGAGGACATTTTGAGAGGAGGATCCAAGTGTATTCATCCTCAATTGTGTACGTAGCAAATCGTTTATAGTAGGGGCAATTTACAAGGTTACCTTTTTCCTTTTGTGTCACATATATTTTGGAATTATCACTGTATTCTGAATGATTCATTTTATTGTCCTATATTTTTGTTGCTGTATATGTGGACATGTAGGTCGTTGGCTTTAATACATTCAGCTTTTAATTGACCATAATCTCTCATCTCCTCCTTGCTACATGTTCTACACCATGTCATCGTCGCACCAAAGACCCACTCGGCATTTCCTATTCGGGTTCTATTCGAGCGATGGTCGTTCTCAATGGCTGGTGCAGATACATTCACTCTTTACAATTTATAATATCTAATAATGTCGTATTGTTCTTCCATATTACTATTCTGTTTGCCTCATGTCTCTGTTTGTTATCTGTCTTTCGAACCTCTCTTTACTCTTTTCTCTTGCCTTGTGTGCTGAATGGAGGGAATTGCGGTAAGTTGAACTGCTGCGCATCTGTGCAAAGTTCTATGTTGAAATCACTCAGTTAGTCAGTCAGGAGAAAGAGAGAGTGGCTTTGTTATTTGTCATCTAGTGAATGAATACTTACTTTACTTTACTTCGGCTATCTCCTACTGGAGGATGAGCCGGCTTCATGAACATCTCGAATCATCGCTGCCCAGGCACGGCGATCTGATGCAAGGTTTTGCGACAGGGTTATCCAATTCTTGTTCCACAGACGGAGTCCGTAGACGGTTTGTAGCCCCAGCCCAGTCACTCCATATCAGCCTTGACTGACTGTCCCAAGCCATGTTTTCAGCTGTCCGCTCCTGAGACATCGCCAAGATGGAAATGGAAATGGCGAGGGATTTAGAACTGATTTGACCAGATCGTCATCTGGTCGGCGCAGAACATCATGGCCAAACCACTGAAGGCGACGTTGTTGGACCAGTACTGGAATTTGGTTGATGTTGTAGCAACGAGAGTTCATGAAGTTTCATGGGAATTAGGTACGAGTGATGTCCCCAGGATCGCTCGGCCTTTTGTTTGAGAGTGTAGCTCTAGCCTTTACACAACGAAGTGTGACCTACAAGGCAGTAGGAGTGGAGTAGGGAGTCCACTATCCATTGTCAGCCAGCTGGTGACCGGAGTCCGGTTCATACGCATTTTTGAATGGGGCCAGACATCCAGGGTATCCAATAAGCCCTTTGTCCATACGTCTGCCGGTGAGCTCCAGTGAGCTTCATACACCAGTCGTTGGAGGTTTGGAATCAGGGTTTAGCCATCTCCCCTAGACCGTCATCGAATGGACAGTCAACCCGGTGAAGAGTTCCGGGAATCCGCTTTTGGCCTCTCACTTCGGTGACAAACACCTTTGCCACGTGAAGGCAGTGAGTAGGACTTCCTCAGGAGAGGCTATGTAAGACGCCCGGTTATATGGGAACATTTCAAGAGGTGTACGGAGGGGTGGCCGACCCGCAGCGCAAGACACCCATCCCCGACCATACTGAGGCTTTGGAGGCATATTATCATCCATAAAATTGAATTACTTCCACTTCACGGTACACCTTTGCTTGTTTTATCGGGTATTATCGCTCTTCTCACACTCGGACTGACGCATTCTACTGGTTTATGGCAACGATTTTTCATCAAGACATTGACATTGAATTAAAGAAAAATATCATTCATCATGATCTTGTAAGATTGTGCGGTCAATAATGGCTGTCAACTGACACCTCGTTGTAGATGGAATTCGCCTGTTGGGCATGTCTGCATCCTCAGTGATATAGTGATGGTGTAACTGAAACTCTCCTAGAACTCATGCCTTCATTCAAATCTTAATGAGATTTCACATTTATTTTTCCCCCCGTGTTGATTTTATTATATGATACACGTGTAATAATGAACTCACTCTATCATTATTTCTTTATTTTGATTCTAGTTGATCTACGCGACCGATCAGGTCATCCTGGAATTGATGAACTGATCAATTCATTGAAACCAATTACAGCTAGCCTGTTAACTTCACTGAATCCAGATGACGGTAGTTTATCATTTCTTGGACAAAATTCAACCTCATCGAATCGAGTAATGATGAATATGCGGGGAAATGATGTAAGCTTACTGACTTTTCAACATTCTGTTTCTTTTTTTATCTTATGTGTTTATTCTATCATATATTTGGTTACTTTCTGTTGAAAAGAAATACAAGAATGTGAGAATTACCAATCTGTGAAAAGTGGAAACAGAGGGATACCGGCTCGTCCTAACCCCCTCCCCCCCATAAGCTGTTGCTGCCTTGGGCTCCGAGTGGAACACTAAACTTCAACAACACGTCTCCACTTAGTCGTATTTTCTGTTGTCTTCTCTAGCTAGGCCCACGATTGCCTTATCATGTCTCATTTCCTCCTCTCATGATCTCCTTCGTGTCACCTTAGCACCACCGACACCCAACTTATTGTTGCACATTTGAGTTCCACTCGGGCGGCCAGCTGAAGCGCGATGTCATTCGACGGTCTCCTCAGTTTTCTTCATATTTGTTGAGCCATAGGTTCTTGGTTGGAGTTTGTCCCTGATTCTTTGCGACTTGCCATCTCTGATATTCAGTATGGATCCAGCGAAGGTGGCAGCTGTTGGTAAAAACCTTCAACTGGTTGTTGGAAATCCTTGACCTGACGCTCTGATGAAGTTTCTGACCCTCTATAGGAGAATTTAATCAAACATTTGTGTGAAAAATCAGAATCTTATTCTTTATGCTGGCTGATTATGCTGAAGATTACCAGACTGTAAAGGTATACGTCACCTTTTTGATTCTGGCTGGTTTTGACATCTTCATCCGTACTGTCGCCTGTAGTTGAAATGTAACTTCCTAGATAAGTTATGGAAGTGATCACTTTCAAATTTTTCCCGTTGACAATGATTACTGCTGGTTGTTGTTGTTGTTCTTGATGGTGATGATGCTTGCGTATCTTCATCACCTCCGTCCTCTCTATTTCCACTCGGAGTCGTGTCTCTGCCGTTGCTTCTTCAGCCAGTTTGTTGGTTTTCGCTTGCCTGCAAATCTCCGAGTTTGTATGACAGTAAACATAAGTCATCCGTGTAGTGCAGATCTTGTAGAGGCTTCTTGTTCGTTCAGCGTACTCGAGTCTTCTCGCTCCCGATAGTCTTCCAGTCGATCACAAATAGAAATAATATCGGTGATAAGTGTAGACGGTGATTTAGACGAATTATCTTTGCAGAAGTAAACATGATTTACAAAGACCCTTTAAAATATCGGGGGTGGGGAGAGAACACAACCCAAGGTATTTAGCATCCGACCTCGTTTCAACTTCATTGGCTCATACGACATAAGAATCATAGGGACGAACAAGTTCATGTAAATAACGTTTGTGTCTGGAAGTAAAACCAACCACCTAACTAACATATTTAGAGGGATTTAACTTAAGACTATTCAATGAGAACTACTACTAATGTGGCTAATTTCTTATACATAGCTGCTCATTTTGAAACAGACGGATTAGGAAATTAACCAGCATGGCGAAACAGTTAGATCACCGAGTATACTTAATAAAATTGGCTTCATTAGTAGTATGAAGCAAGTTATGTAAGAGGTAAAAAAAGTAGGAAGACGGACAGCACCTTGGGAAACACCTCGGCTACAGTAAGTACTAGACAATGTACTGTCGCCTTTAAAAAAAAATAATAAGGATCAAGCACTCTGTTTGTGTGTCACAACCAGCTTGTTTAACAAAAGACGCCTTGGTACAGAGTCAAGGGCAGAATTTATTTTGATAAAGTCTCACAGTGTTCGTAGTACAGTAATATCTACTGATGATGACCACGTTTCGAGCAGAATTCATTACTGCTCATAATCATATCAAGGCACTAATCACGCAAATTTCTAACTTCGTTTATATAATTCCATTATTTTTCATCGCTTGATTTGATTGGTAGTAGTATTTTCCATATTTCAGGTATGAGTGATGATTCATTCCTATTGCATGTGTTTGGTGCAGACTCGATGAACCAAGCAGGATTCAGTAATCAAGCTCTCTCGCTCTCCACCTACCTAGATTACTTTTTAGAATTTATACCCTCTCCCACCCACCATGCTATTGTGTGGTTGTGTGTTAATGCATGCAGTGTTGTGCAGTTGCTGAGCTTTTTTCTAAATAACTTATCTTCTCCGAATCAACCATCCTTACCTCAGCTAAATTCTTATGTTCCGTTAATCTGACTACTCCCGACCTACTAGTTTGACCTATGTAGTTGGCTTAACTCACAATCATTACAAGGTATTTTGTAAATTATATTCTTTAGTTTAATTGGGTCAACCGACAAGGTCCAAAGCCTCAGGATGGTCGGGGGTGGGTGTCTTGCGCTGCGGGTTGGCCACCCCTCCGCACACCTCTTGAAATGCTCCCATATGACCGTGCGTCTTACATAGCCTCTCCTGAGGAAGTCCTACTCACTGCCTTCACGTGGCGGAGGTGTTTCTCACTAAAGTGAGAGGGCAAAAGCGGATGCCCGGCGCTCTCCACCGGGTTGACTGTCCATTGGATGACAGTCTAGGGGAGATGGCTAAACCCTGATTCCAAACCTCCAACGACTGGCGTATGAAGCTCACTGGAGCTCACCGGCAGACGTATGGACAAAGGGCTTGTTGGATGTCCTGGATGTCTGGCCCCATTCAAAAAGGCGTATGAACCGAACTCCGGTCACCGGCTGCCAATGGATAGTGGACTCCTTACTCCACTCCTACTGCCTTGTAGGTCACACTTGGCTGTGTAAAGGCTAGAGCTGCACTCTCAAACAAAAGGCCGAGCGATGCTGGGGACATCACTCGTACCAAATTCCCAAGAAACTTCATGAACTCTCCTACAAACAACTCTCACCATGCTACGGCGTTCCCGGTAAGCGACGCGCCCTGTGCTCACCCGGTGGCCAGTGTGAAAAGTAAGCTAGCTGGGAAATTAACACTTAGAAACCAACTATTTGTTGGCTGCTGGAATGTTAGGACGCTGTTGGATCCTGGTAGCCAGTCTATCACCATGCGTTCTTTATATGACTACAAGGTAGACATAGCGTGTCTATCTGAAGTGAGGTTACCCGATCATGGCTCCCGCCGAATAGCCGTTCCTGGAACAGATTCTTCATTCTGGTTGCTTCATAGTGGCCCCCAGAATAATTCGGGACAACATGGGGTAGCATTTGCTCTCAGTAACAAAGCCAATAATGCCCTAATATCATTCGAACCGGTCAACTCCAGAGTTGCAGTCGCTAGGTTCAAGGGTTCCCCGCTCGACATTTCTGTTCTCGCTGTCTATGCCCCAACCCTCGACTCTGATGAAAGTATCAAAGACGAATTTTATGACAATCTTCAAGAGGCAATCAACAAAATCCCAAAGCGTGACGTTCTCATAGTAGCCGGCGATTGGAACGCCCGCACTGGCCCTTCAGACGACGCGACAAAACATATACTAGGCAAACACGGTCTCGATCAGCGCTGCCGTAATGGTGATAGACTTTTATCTTTTTCTGATTACAATCGATTATATATCACCAACACTCGATTTCAACACCCCAGAAAACATCTTCTCACCTGGTATTCGAACGACGGTCGCACTGCACATCAGATCGACTACATCCTAGTGCGCTCACGCTGGATCTCCTCGGTGGAAGACTGTCGATCCTATCGTGGAGCAGAGGCCGGAAATAAAGGGGGATCAGACCATACTCTAGTTAGGGCGAAATTCAAACTTCGTTTAACGACACGCCAGAAGGCGCGACCTCCGAAGCGTATCAATGTTGCCCCGCTTCAATGTTCTACAAAACGACAAGCCTTGTCCAAACAAATCCAGGCCGAACTAAGCACCGCAGATGAACCAACATCCACATCTTCTAATACACCCGAGACACGATGGAATCATTTCAAAGAAGTAGTCTCTAAAGCTTCAATGTCGCATTTGGGTACCACATCCAAGAAGCAGAAAGACTGGATTTCAGAGCACACCATGCTTCTATCCTCGCAAGCCAGAGACGCTCGCCTAGCAAAGTCTCCAGTTTATCGCTCCCTCAGGCGCAAAGCTACACAGTCTGCTAGGAACGACAGAAATCGCTATTGGTCTAACGTGGCGACTAACATGGAAGCAGCATCAAATGTAGGCGATTTCGGAAAACTTTATCGCCTCTTACGCCAATCATCTGGCAAACGCCTTAACAGTCATGCTGTGTTACGCACAGCATCAGGAGAAATTATTTCGGACACCAATGGTAAGATGGAACGATGGGCCGAACACTTCAAGCAGCTACTCAATCGCGACGCTGGTCAACCGTCTCATCGACCGATACGACACTTACCAACACCCTACGTAGTTGACTGCGATCCACCCACTCCAACCGAAATAGCTAAAACAATTAACAGACTCAGAAACAAAAAAGCTCCGGGCGAAGATGGTCTACCCCCAGAAATATACAAGGCCTGCACTCCAGCGCTAATCGATGCACTGCACTCGCTGTTCTGCTCAATTTGGGAGTCCGAAACCATTCCTTCCGATTGGAGCACCTCAGTTCTGCTACCGTTCCACAAAAAGGGAGACAGGTCAATATGCGAGAACTACCGAGGCATAAGTCTGATTGATATCGCTGCTAAGGTTTTTGTTTCCATTCTCCTGAACCGCTTCGCGGCCGAACGCCACGTGCGAACAAGGCCAAATCAAGCCGGATTTCGACCTGGAAGAGGCTGTGTTGATCAATTATTCACACTGCGAAGAATTTTGGAACACAGGGACAAATTCCAACAGCCGACGGTTGCTTGCTTCATCGACTTCCAAGCGGCATTCGACTCAGTTGATCGAGGAGCACTCTGGTATCTAATGGAGCTCGACGGAGTTCCGACCAAGCTAATCAACCTGCTCAGGTCATACTACTCCAACACCAAAGCTCGAGTCCGAGTGAACGGTGAAGAGTCCCGCACTTTTGAGGTAACCAGCGGTGTCCGGCAAGGTTGTCCAGCATCCCCCATCCTGTTCAATTTCACAATCGATTGGATTTTGCGGCACGCCCTAACCGAGCACCACGGCGTCCAACTTTCGCCCGATATTCACATAACCGACCTCGAATTCGCCGACGACGTCGTGCTGTTAGCTGAAAACTTCCCCGATATGCAACAGGCGCTCGACCAGATAAATCACCTCGCGCCTACTATCGGTTTGAAAATTAACACTTCCAAAACCAAAATGTTTTCGAACACATCCACCGGCAATGATGAAATCTTATCCCTAAATGGAGCACCTATTGAAATTGTGCCATCCTTCAGATATCTGGGATCCATAATGCTCCCCAACGGCCAAGCGAAAAACGAAGTGAATGCGCGAATCTCCAACGCCCGGAATGCGTTTCTACAGCTGAGGAGCGTTCTATGGAGCAAGAGAGAAATCAGTCTCAGGACTAAAATTCGGGTCTACCAAGCTTCCATACGACCCGTTCTGCTGTATGGCTGTGAAACCTGGCCTCTTCGCGCGGAAGATTTACGCAGACTCGAGGTATTAGACCATTGGTGTCTCAGGTACATTCTGCATGTTCGTTGGCAGGACAAACTCTCCAACGAAGAAGTGCGTCGGCGTTGCTACAACATCAACCAAATTCCAGTACTGGTCCAACAACGCCGCCTTCGGTGGTTTGGCCATGTTCTGCGCCGACCAGATGACGATCTGGTCAAATCAGTTCTAAATCCCTCGCCATTACCATCTTGGCGATGTCGCAGAGGCGGACAGCTGAAGACATGGCTTGGTACAGTCAAGGCAGATATGGAGTGCCTGGGGCTACAAAGGGTCTACGGACTCCGCATGTGGAACAAGAATTGGATATCCCTATCGCAAAACCTTGCTTCAGATCGCCGCGCCTGGGCAGCGATGATTCGAGACGTTCATGAAGCCGGCTCATCCTCCCGTAGGAGATAGCCGAAGTAAAGTAAAGTAAGTAAGTAAGTCCTTTAACCTACAGTGAGCTTGTAGGTTTAAATGCCACTCTGATTCCTGCTTTATTAAGAATCCTACGTCGGGTATCAGATGTCCCCTTCTTATATGGTAGAATGCTGTAGATGCCTTATATTCTTTCTTATTTATGTTATCATTATTAGTTTCACCATTATTTCTATTTTGCTTTTAACCTTTTCTGATCTTCCTAATGAATTTTATAGGATAGTTATTTGATACAAACGCTTCTTCTACCTGTTTTATTTCACCATTTAGGTCTTTTTTTGTGCTACTTAGTGCTACTGCTCAGTTTGTTAGACACTTAACTAAGCTTGCCTCCACAGACAGATAACGGTTGAGATAAATGAAAGTCTAAATATCTACCAGAATGCGTTGGTTTTCTATAAACGCTACTACCACTACCAATCAAATCAAGCGATGAAAAATTGTGATGGAATTATGTAAACGAAGTTAGAAAGTTGTATGAGTAGTGCCTTGATATGATTATAAGCAGTAATAAATTGTGCTCGAAACGTGATCATCATCAGTAAATATTACTGTACTTCGAACACTGTGAGACTTTATCAAAATAAATTTCACCCATAATGGAATCCCCCGACTGAAGTTGATGATCACTCTTGAAGTCTTATCTCAAGGGTGTGTTGTTTTATGGTATCAACCTCTTCACACTCCTCATTATGTTATACTACACTGCCTAATGACTGTCTTAATAATTCATAAGTACATACATTGATGTATATAGATTAACCTTTATGGACATTTTTAAGTACTCTGTTCCTCTCTCTCATTTTCTCTATGTGTATATTTTGTTCTCTCTCTCTGTGTATGTTTAGTTATCGAAATCCACCTTACCAATGCATAGTCAACCTGCGGAAAATCTTGAATTATCTTTACACTTACTTCAACAACGTGAATCACAGATTTTACAAACAATTGTTCAACTACAATCGAAACATCAAGTAAGTCAAATATATTCTGGATAATTGTTTGTTTCTTTTCCCTATCTTCCTCTTTTTTTCCCTTTCTTTCTCGTTGCTTATCTCTTATACAATGAAAGTTCCTCACATACCCCCCCCCCCCTTTTTGTGAAACTTGACCACACTAGTCGTCTGCGCTGAATCATCAGTTTGCTATCTATTATGTAGTTGAGAATAACTACGGTCAACCCATGTTGTTTAAGGGATAGTTATTTGTTTTTGTAAAATTCATAATTCCTCTCATCGCTGACGTCAAGCTGTGGAGTAATGCGAGTTCCAATTCCGCTCCCTCCACCTACGCCAAGATTTGGACAGAATTCTAAGAGTGGACGGAAGTAGAAAGTGATGTTACTCAATAACTAGTTGCATTTATTTATATACAGTCGACAGTGAGCCACGCGTATTATCGGAGAACTTAAGATACTGCCAGGCATTGCAAACCTCAGTAGTTGGGACACATGGGGTTGAAAGTCAAGCCACCCCCCGCCCCCTTAGACTAATGAACCATCGTTCTTTTGAGGGTGAAAATTAACAGTAAGAATTTTATGCCAACCGATAGATATTTCCATTTAAAGTAAGATGCGTGAAAAATCTAATTTAGATGTAATGCTTTTCGCCTAGTGAAAACATTATCTAGTTACGGATGATCAAAGGATGTGTTTAATGTCAAACAGTATCACTGTAAGAAATGTTTATCAGAAGTAGAGGACCTGAAGAGGCCAGCTAGCTGGCTGTACGTCTGTCGTGTTAAGTGGTGAGTGATATTAGAGCCAGGGTGTAGAGTGTTAGGTAATGATGGAAATTCAACCAAATAGGTTGTCTGTCAAGATAGCTAAAACAAGTGTTACATATATACCGAGCCACCGGCGCCATCGTCGACCAATTCCAAGAGCCAAGACGGATCGATTCAAAATTTGTCATGACTCCGTGAAATCTCTGACTGTAGACTTCTTAAAATCAATCGCTGGAGATTACTGGGGATATATGGCTGAAAATCGTCCTCGGTGGCACAGATAAACATACACACTGTCTGTAATCTCACGGACGCGTTAAATCGTCATGCTCTTTCATGTTACTTTTTTTCTTCTCTGTACATTTCTGTCTATTTTGTAGTTCTTTTAAACTGTTTTCTTCCCATCCACCATTGTGTGCTAGATAAAGTGTGACAACTTGACTTGTGTGCAAAGTTCAACGATGCAACTGAGTTGGTATGTTGTTGTGAAATCGGTAGAATTTCGGCACTGTGCTATGAAATGAAATTCATAGTCATTAAAACTCCAGTGGAATTCAAGTTAACCTTTGATATCTGACATTGTTTCCAAATGATTATTGCCTTAGTATTATACAACATGCTCTACCTAAAGAAAATATCGTCATTATACGTGTCACAGATTCAATGTACGGAAATGTTTTTACTTTGGTTTATATAGTCTGTTGAGAGAGAGAGAGGGAGATGTTGTTGTTTTGTTGTTGTCATTGTTTTGTGATGATGTATTTTTCACTTCACAGTTGGTAGACTGTAGTCACTGGCACCAAAAAAACATTTATTTTCAAATTAAGTCACGTAAATGTTGACATTCACCCCGTAGAAGCAATGTTATCTCTTGTTGTTACTCTTACTTAATTGATTCATTTGATTAGAGTAACCACTTGTGAATAAACAAAGGGAGAGAAAGAGAGAGATTGTATGTGTGTGTCTGTTATGATCAAGTATTAGTCTGTATGGATGGATGGATCGCTGTGGGTTGGCGACGGTGCATGCATTCATGCTTTACTTATTTACAACGTCATCTAAGTGTTTTGTGTGTGTACATTTGATTTGTTTGTGTTAGTCGGATCTTGCCAAGTACACATGTGGTCCGGGATTCAATCGCCGTCTGATGCACTTCTAAACCTCGCTTCTTCAATGGTAGGTGGCCCGGTATTCTCGGTGATTCGAAGCAGAGCAAGAAGCCTGTGACAGTGAAGGGAAATGATATATTTCTTAAGTTTTCTGTTAAACTTGCCATAGCGAATACAAGAATCAGTTTTCTGAAGAGATGTAGTGATAAGAAAGAATATTCTAAGCAATTCTGGAAATGTCTTTGTTGCAATCATATCCAGACGAATCATCGCTCTTTGAAAAGTCATACACTGAACGTTATCGACGAAATAAAATCTTGACTACCAGAGAGAGAGAGATTTTAATGGACTATATCGATTCAGTTTCAAGAAGACGATGTGAAGATGTAAACCTGAAACTTGCGAATAGTTTCAAAGCCGCTAACACTTATTCACGTTTTCCTGCCACACCAGAGAATTTTGTTTTTATTATTTTGATTGCAGCTTGATTCCACACCGCATCTCTTGGTACAGGTATGGAATTTTCAACATGTGATATGGGTAGCCCGAGTTTTGCAGGCCGACCATAGATATCAGGTGTGCACCGGCGGGGGATCGAATCCCGAAGCATGTGCATGGTCAGCGACAGTCCTAACCACTGTGCCACCGACGCGACAAACAGCGGGCAATGAGGAAACAGGCATAAAAAACTTGGAAGATCTGGACTTCGCCGATGATATATGTATCTGATTTCCTACAAACTGGAAGATATGTAAGTGATGAAAAGCAACGAGTTGGCGGTAGAAGAAGCATCAAAGATAGGACTTCAGGTGAACATATGGAAAAAAGAGGAGGCAACAACAACAGACAACAATCAGCCAGTATAAATGGGAAAGATCTGAAAGAAACAACCTCCTTTACCTACCTGGGTAGCATCGTTTCAACTACAGACAGACGGAACTGACGAGGATATCAAAGCAACGAGGATCAGGAAAGCAAGGAAAGCTTTCATTACTCTCAGGTCTGTGTGATGGTCAGCAGCACTCAGCATGAAAATAAAAATAAGATCCGGATTTTCGACTTCAATATGAAGTCAGTGCTACTCATTATACAGATGAGAGACTTAGCGTGTCATGAAGAGCATCTCAAACAAATTACAAATCTTCAAAAACAGCTGTCTTCGCTCAATATTCAAGATCAGATGGCTGGCAAGAAAAGATCAGCAACATGGAGGGATCTCTGGCAATGAGCGAACCAACTAAGCAGGAACCGATTGTGAAACAAATAGGCATTAAGAAATAGAGGTGGATTGGCTGGCCATACTCTGAGGAGACAAACCATCAAGTGACATCTCTAGACAAGCCATCACTCGAGTGGAACCCGAAAGGGGAGCGGGCGGCGAGTTGGTAGTCAGTGCGAGGGTGACATGGAAGAGCAGGTGATGTGAAGAGGAGAGGAAAACATGTGGGTAATTATGGAATCAAGTGAAAACTCTAGCAACAATTATATATATATATATATATGTGTATATATATATATATATATATATATAAATCTAATGAGGATATATGAGCTAGAGAATCTGAATCACATCTTATGTACTACTAGATCTTTTTCACTCTCGTTAGACACACTAGCCTTATGAGGAAGACAGAGTATGACGTACGTGTCATCTGCGTTTTGTTTCATACTGGTGTTGTTGTCATCTGATTACACACACTCATAGTGTAGTCGGTAGTTCGTTATTGCCTCTAACTCTCTGTCTCTCCACCCTAAACGCCTTTTTATTCCTCCACTATTCTACTATATATATCGTTGCCCAGCGGACGACTGCTACCTTGTCGTGGTGTAGTCGGACTTGAATACCGCAATGAACCAACAAGCTAAACTGGCTGGAGCTCATATCCCTGCAGGTCCTACCATGTCAGGAAGGTTGTTCACATAGTGGTTAGACTAAAAGCAGTTTTACTATGAGGTGGTAGGTACATGGTCTCCAGAATCCAATCGGATCAAATGGCGTATAAACCTATATGGGCCACCAGCAACCATGGGAATGATGCAGCTGCTGACGCTGCTCCGCTGCCTTGTGGATTAGACTCTAAGTCAAAGGCTCGAAGAGGGGTGGGGTGGTCCCATAAGAAAACCATCTGCTTCAGTCTGGGCACCCGGGCAGTATCTCAGCCCTCACACAACTTGTGTGGCGCATCTTTCTTGGTCACATATTGTACCAAGTTATTTTCTGCATTTAAATAAACAAATAATTAAATACATGATTATTTATTACCGATTGATATTAGAAATTGACAACAAGTTTAAACCAGATGTGATATATCTGTGATTCAATGATCAATTAGTAATAATAATAACAATAATAGTTAGTTAGTTAGTTAATGAGTGAGTTCTCGTAGTGATAAGTGTAGTAGTATGATATATATCTGTCTATATTCAAGTAACGATGATTGATTACAATAAGGGGATGATGGTGGTGGTGGTATATTAAACACTCAAATGTGCAGATCTCTGCGTGTATCTCTCTCTCTCTCTCTCTGTGTGTGTGTGTGTGTGTGTGGCTCCTTTGCAAATAATGGCGGCAGCGAATTTTCTAGGTTTTTACTATCTCATACATCTCTCTCTCAATCTATCTATGTATCTAATTTGTGTCTTGTTATTTTACTGCTTCGGTGTATATTATCACACTTCAACGAAAACGTAAAACAACGATTATCAAGGTAGAATTGTTTTTTTTTTAAAAAAAACAACAAACACTGAACAATCAAACACAAACAGATAAAAAAACAAAACAAGAGAAAAACTCACAAAAAAATCACTTCATTTTCTTTTCTTTTCTTTTGTCTTTCTTCTCATCCACTAAATCAGTCAGTCAATCAATGCCATTCGATTTCTTCTTCTTCATCTTGTTTTCTGCAAAGTATTTTCTTTGTGTTGAAATCTCTTTGTTGTCATTGTAGTTGCTAAGGGAACTGCTTTCGGTTTACTATCTCTCTCACTTTCTGTCTCTCTCTCTCTCTGTCACTTTGTTTGTCCGTCTGTCCGTCCATCTACCGGTCGCCCACTCACTCTCCCCTCCGCCTCTTTCTCTCAGCCTTACTTCATTTGACAAACTGAGTGTAGTTAATGATTGAATGCATGCATGTATGAGT